TTCAACTTTTGATCTCAAATTAAGACTCATTAATCAACTAATTCCTCAATTCATCCTTCAAAATATCTCATTTGTTTACATTAAGAATATTCCCTTTGATACATAAATAAATTGCACTTTATTGAAAAGAAACATGTGAGAGAGAAGGCTTTCAAATGTGGGGGTGGGATTGTGAAGAATAACTTGCTTACCTACCTATAATATTAATTCAAAATATTTTCCCATTTGAATTATTAAATTGCTTTTTTGTGATATGTCACTTTCACTATGACCACCTGTCATTAATGACGAGGTTTGGTGCTGGTGTGTGTATCCATTGGATTTGTTGCTTAATTTTAATGGAAAAGGCCAATGTCTAGGTTCAAACCATAACACAATTCTTTCATTGAAAAGTCTAATAAACTATTTAAGTCTATAGTTTTAAATTGTTCATTTTTTAAACTCTTACAATTATTTGAACTGTATCGCTGCATTTTAAAAATAAATGAAACGCAAAGCAGAAATGTAGTTTTCTAAATGTAATTTTTTTAAAAAAAATCAAATTCAAAGTAAATTAAATTAAATTTCAATTAATTAAATTGGAGAATTGACTGGAAATCTCTTCTCAGTTTCAAACGAGACTTAAAAAAGCATAAGAAAATTCCTGGAATATAATAATTATAGGTGCATCTTCTCGATAATAATATTGATTTTGAAAGTTGGATCAGCTAAAACATCCTTATCACCAAATTGCATGAAACAAGAAGAGGAAGAATAGTATTAATTGAAAGTGATTTTAATTTGTATCCAATATATATATAGATCATCAAATTTGCACATGATATTGTCGGTTTTGATGTCAATTGTTGATATCTTCCTTTCATTTATATGTTATTCTATGGATGCTTTAATTTCTAACATACATGCCCCATCTTCCATGTATATCTTCCATGTATTCCTTAATTAATTAAACCATTAATCTAAAAAAAAATCAAATTGCATATTTTGATCTTAGTTTTCTCGGAAAATTCTTAGAAACTTCAATACTCATAATATTTTGGTCCTACCATCTCCACATATACATTGGATGAGACATAGCTATTTTTTTTATACCTAGCCGAGTATTTTATATATATATATATATATATATAATGATTGTATGATTCTACAAATAAATATATAATGAATGTATGATTTTGGTAGGCTTTTCTTCTCTTTGAGCCGAAGACATTATTGATTATTGTTTGCTGGGCAGCTCTTATCCCTACATGGCTTCACGCCAACCATTGATTGTCACTCCTATAAATGTCATTTCTTTCTTATTAGTTAATTTAAAGTGAAAAAATGCTTTGATAATGTATGGATAAAAGATTCAACCATAACAACTACATAAATTTTATTAATACAATACTCTCTGAGTATCATATAAATCGAACAGTTGTTATCATATTACATGGGATGTGGATTTGTATCACTCGTCCCTATTTTTTAAGTATAAGGAATAGATTCTATTGATATCAGAAATTATCTTTATGAGATATCAAGAGCAAAGGATCAACCTGTCTCAAATAGGTTAGAACATATACAAAAGTTTTAATTCAAACTCCCAACTATTTGTTTGAATGAAGAGAACCTTTACACTAAAGCCAATTTTTGTTGGTAGACTCATACATTTCTCTTCAAACAAATAATAGTGGCAACAAGCCAATGGACAAAAGTGTATTATTTACGCTTAAAACAATCAAGTCGTATACAGAAATAACAATAAAAATAATAATCGGATGTGTGAAGAGTTTGATGGCCCTGCAATCTGCAAAGAACTGTAAAGAAACTATTAGTTGAGGCTATAATGGCGGATTCCTCTTTCGTTGTGACATTAAGCTAAGATCTAACTAACTAAGAAAAGGGCAAAAAAATGGAAAATATAATAATATACAGATAAACTTTTGGTTGGTCCAGAGACGTCAATATATTAATTTATTTATTTTTAGTTGTGAACGCAATGATTGTACGTCCGCTACTTAACGCATTGCGACGGATTGGATTTTGAGAAAAGATACTGCGAGGCAGTGATTCCTTGGACAATATGGTATGAACTCTGAAGTTAACTACAAAAATTATGCTAATAATCTAAAACTACACCTCACATTTGGCAAGCAAAGTACAAAGAATGGCTTAATGGATAGAGTAATCAGATATTTAATTTAAAAAGTGAGCATATTTTCAGGTAATGACAGCAATTGAATTGTATATGGCTGACATCACAAGTTGTCACTACAGCCGCTGGCCGGAGTCAGTAATACAGTTCATACCTACTTGCCTATCTATTTAAGTGCATTTTTTTTTTCAAGGCTCAAACTTTGAAAATTCAGGTTATTTTTTACTTAAAAAAACAATTGCTGGGCTCAATTTTAAGAGTGTTCAACACCTGTCTAGATCAACTCAGTTATGTCTCGATCTTGTCCCAATTTAAAGACAATTGGAATAAAATTTTGCGGATGGAATGAGAAAGGAATTCAAGATAAAATGAGGCACGAGATTACCTTTAAAATATCACATTTCATCTCAAATATTATATATATATATATATATATATTAAAAAATATACATTAAATATATTAATTTTATTAATATAATTTATATTTATATTAATTATAGTTTCAATACATACAATTATTTTTTAAAATTAAATTTTTTATATTGATAATTTTAATAACATAGAGTAGGTAATTCATGATAATATATTTCTTTAAAATATATTAATTATATTAATATAATTTATATATATAATAACTTTTTGGGTAAACATAACTTTGGTCCTTGTATGTTACTCGTGTTTTACTTTTGATCCCTATACATTTCTTTTGGTGTTTTAGATCCTTACAATTTTATTTTTCATTATTTTTTATCCCTCTATAAGCAAAGTATAAAAACCTTAGAAGGATCTAAAATAATAAAAAATAAAAGTGTAAGGACCTATAACACAAAAAAAAAATACAAAGATCAAAAGTTATGTTTATCCTAACTTTTTTTATATTGTATTTCTTGCTTTATTTTTAAAAAAATCATTGGCTTAACATATCTCAATTAAAGAAGAAAAGCAATGAATTAATATTGTGTCTGTCTTATCTATTATTGATGCTCTTATGACCTAGAGATCACTTATAATTGCTATCATAATGTATTATGTCTCATATATACTTGACTTTAAATTGTATCTTTGTGGTTGTAATTGATATAGTTTAATAATTAACTTTAAATTATTATGATTTATATACTTATGTTATTTTGATTTTAAACTCAATAAGTTATGTGATTTAAAATTTTAACTAGTAAATATTATTATCTAAATTTTTTTTCTCAAATTGTTAACTTTATTGGGACGGCTAGATGTCCCTATCTTGTCCCAATTACTAATGGGTGAGATATGAAATAAAAATTCAATCTCAACCATTTTTTAGGGCGAGATCAAGACAGTCTCATCTAATCTTATGAACACCCCTACTCAATTCATGGCAAGTTCGAGCTAGTTGTTTAAGCTCTTTTTTCCCCTAATAAAGTGCATAATAACCCCGTGTGTGTGTATTTTTTTTTTTTTTTCAACTAACCCGACCAAGCAAAAACTTTTGGTAGAAGGATCACAAAGAAGAAAGTAACCATATATTAAACTACCAATAGTTAATTGTTCTAACGACAATATTTCTTCTTTCTTTTTGGAAGAGATTCTGAATTTGAACCTAACGCTTACATTTTAATGTACATGGTGCGAACCATATATTGAACTCAAGTTTCTGGTTGAGGTTCTAAATTCTTTAATTGATGTGATAATGTTTTCTTTTAATTTATAAACGCGATTGCGTTTTCTTTTTATTTCTTTCTTCCGTCTCTCTACGAATGTATAGTCATTCCTGGAAGTATTTGACACGTCTGAACAGCAGTAGGTCCAGTTTTTTTGTCGCTTTTACTTGATGTCCATCCACCTTTGGCCTTTACCATTCATATATAAAAAAATATTTTCATTTGGATGAAGCAATATTTAATTTTGTTTTGAAACTTCAGCACCTGAAAATTAATTTGTTGCCCTTTGTCCAGAGAAGAGACTTCAACTCATATAACTCAATCAGTCCCACCCATTATTAAAAGAACAAAATTTATATATTTAACTTTATATACTTAATAGTTGGTCTGAAAACAACTTAATATATTTTTATCTAATTAAATCAAAACATGTAAATTTTAACATACTAATAATGTTAATAACAAAATTTATTATAGATTAAAAAACTTATAAAAAATAAACATCTTAATTTAATTAAAAATAAATACTTTAAATATATAATCCCAAGTATACAAATTTTTCCCATCTTAAAATTCTACCAACAGCACAGGAAGCTAATATACTCTTGAACCGTCTTAAATTATAAGATGTGAATCACTATGGAAGGTGCCTGAACAAATCAGGTGATTGGCAAAAGTTGAAATTACCTGTATAAAGATGATTTTAGTAAAGGCTTGAAAATTCCGCAATTTCTTTCTCTTCTGTTTCTTCTTTGTTTTTAAACCCCAATTCAGTTAATGCCCATGAGATTTCCCAACACAGAAAGGGCACGGGCAAGGGGATTTCCCTGGGCCGTCAACAACAATATAAGCCCAAATTGGATAGAGCCTACCAAAAAGAAGGAAAGATAGCGAGCCTAATTACACGACCTAACCTATTATTTCACCTCTCAATTTTTTTCCCCACATGAACACTCCCATCCTCTGACCTGAACTAATGTAGAGGCGATTGAGAGCACCTCTATTGGGGAGCATATCTTCCACTAAAAATTTAAACACCGCCCCATAGCTCAAATTCAAATTCAAAATATCCTATTAACCTGGATCAACCCCTCTATCAAATTTTTATGAATGACGCTGGAAGGCCCACCCCGCAACGCATCTTAACCTAGAGATGTGTTTTTTGGGCTTGAAAATCCCTGTTTATTCCGCAAGATCAGCACCCAAAAGCAAAAACAGTAACATGATTCACAAAGTTCTTAACTTCCATACCTTCACATCACATATCATAAAGAAATCTTTAAAAGCCACAGATCCCGACCAACACAATACCCGGAAGTACCATAAGTATCAACACAACGCGGATACAGGAATAAGATTCGACCCAGACTCGATCATACACCAAGTACTATGAAAGTAAGTTTCAACACAGACACACTCATTAGACTAGGTGCCAGAGAACTTGGCTCGAGCATCATTGTGAGTCGACGTTGGAACCTCCTACAACACATGAAACATTAAATACCCGTTAGCTCAAGAGATTACAAGTAAAATCACCAGCTTCCGGAAGCAAAATTCGCAGGAAACGCTCAAAGTAATTGAAAAATAAAGGGGTCAGGCAAAGGCAATCAATCAAATCTTTTTTCTTTCTCAACAAAAACCACACAATAATCAACAGAACAAACAGATGAGGTTCCGTCAAAAACACACTGATCCTGCAAGAGAAACCAAACAGGCTTAGTTCAGATTCTAGTATTTTAAATTGACACTTCCTGATCTCATCTTTCGCAAATCAGTTAGTTCTATTCTAATTAACAAAATAACATAAAAACGTACTGTCTATAAACCAGCATTTGTGAATCGCTCAAATAAGCAGAAACCAATACTTGGACAGCGAACAGAACACAAACAACCCATTAAGCACAAAATATGCATTCCACAATCTGATACTTCAATGCGATACCAAAGTAACAAAGGCAATGGACAAAAGAAAAACATACCTCCTGGCAGATAATCTACCTGAGCATTTTCCCCTTCATCAATGCTATGCACAGTCGCAGAGACAGATTGGACCAACCACTTCAAAAATGCAGAAAATTTTTTGTAATTAAGCAAGCAAAGCTAATAAGAAACACAAAAAGATAAAAGGCTCATCATACTCTCAAATCACAAGGGAACAAAATATAATCAATAGGTTAGAAGCTACTATTCAAGGGAAAATCAGGGAAGAAAACAAAAACCCAAATTACAAGCGCTATATCACATAATGAATCAAAGAGCGAAAGACGATGAAGAACAAATATATTAAACCTTTACAGAAAAAGCCACTTAATAAACCTATAATTGGAGAAAAAGGTGAGACAAAGGGGGAATTAATTTACCAAGTGTAAACCCAATAAGGACCAACCTTCGATGATATCAGGTTCCCTTTTTGATGCAAGCCCAATTTGATGCTCTCCTTTTGGAGTGGAAACAGAGTGCAACGAACCTTCACAATGACATAGTTAAGATATATGAGACTTAGAAGTGGTAAATTTAGGTTGGAAATATAACTCCAGGTGCATAAATCAAAAGGTACGGAATTTTATTACCTGATTTTCTAGATGAGGGCAATGGCAATGGTTGGTGTTGCCGACATGTGGATACACAAGGCTGTGGACTAGAGTAGCTTGGATGTGAGAAAAGCATCAAGGAGGCAGAGCATCTGGGAATTACAAAAATTGTTATTCAAACAGAAGGTAAAGTTAAAAGTCAAAATATTTGTGCAATAGTTTCTTTAGGCCATTTCTAGCAAAACAATAACAGGTGTAAATAATAATGACAAACAAAAAAGAAAATATACCTTGATTTAAGATAAATGACAAACGGAAAAGAAAATATACCTTGATTGAAGATAATGACAAACGGAAAAGAAAATATACCTTGATTGAGAATCAACTTTTCCATGCAATACCACAGGAGTCCAAGCAGTCGCAGCATGTGCGACCACTTCACATACTGGTGCAGGTATTTTCACCTCCATCTCCTGCACCAGTAATGGGAAGTAATTCATTGATTGCTATTCAGAATCATCATACACATTTTCACCATCAGAGAAGTCATCAAATGATCTCATATCAAGCTGGTAGCGCAGAATTCCCCCTATACCGCCAAAACCCCGACAAAACTGTGAGCCCTCTTGTGATTTATTAGTGACAAACTCAAGAGTGCAGCCAAACCGTCTGTACTCATTAGCAAACCACTCCAGGAGAGACATCTTTTCCTGAACCTCATAGTCAGCATTGCTAGCAGAATCCCGAAAATTTTCCTGGTTGGCTTCTTGTTCCTTGTTTAAGTGTTTTATGACAATTTCACCAGTAGTGCTGTGTTTCAATACGTATCTATTTATATCCAGACTTTCCCAGACAATAAGTGTCTCAACTGCACCCATCTCCAGCGCTTTAAGAGTATCATCAACCCCAAAAACATACTTACCAGTATCCTGACTGATCTCCTCGAAGTATTTCCCAATCAAGCGTTTCTCCTGGATGAACTTCACATTGGCCAGAATTTCTGATGAGAGTTCAATGGCCTGATTGAAGCCATTCTCCCCTCCATAAGATACATCAACAACATTAAGTATTTTTGCCTGAAGTCTAGGATCAAACATATCTGACTGGCTAAGCTCGGTTTTAAAGTCTGCTGAACCAGCAAGAATTAATCCTGAAACATTGGGCTGACTGGTAGCAGGATTAATATAAAACTGTGTAGCAAGCTCTGCAGTCTTCCTCACATAGTTATGGCGCTTCTCCATCCGAAGACGGGCAAATCGTAGGGCTGACTGACCTCCTCTTCCATGCTTCTTTGGTAGATCCACACTAAATTTATGAAGCACCTCTCTTGTATTGCCACTCAACGTCCCAAAAAGTGTGCCATTGCCATCCATGACTATAAAACCAAACTTGTCATCAGATTCCAGAAGCTCATTGAGAGCTTCTGTATGAAACTTGTTGTCACAAAGATAGAGAGATGCATTGATAGGTCTAAATGGCTCAAAATCGATGGTCACCTTCTTCTCCTTTCCATCTTCTGTTACAATTGTCCCGGTATACAGAACAAGCCCGTTTGAAGGAACCTTGTTATAAAGCTTAAGTCTCTGCTGAGCAGACGTGATTGCACCAAGCACAGACTGCCGGTTCACTCTGCTTTTTATGTTTGAAGCAGTTCCAAACTCATCACCAAGCATCTTGGTGACACGAGATATTTGATCACGTGGGGGCATGATAAGAGAAATCATGCTAGTCCCATTTCCTCGAGCAGCCTCCAAGGCTTTGATCAATTTCTTGATCTTCCACACCTCAATGTTCTTATCAGTATCATGAGCATCAGCCATTTTTGAACAATCAGAATTTAATAACCTAATAAGGAATAAAGGAAACAATTAATCCACATACTACAGCTTATACATATAAAGCCAACAACAACAAAAATCATAAATAAAATTACTTAGCATAACGAAAACATATAACGTCATCAATTAAAATATCCAAGGCTCGTACAATCAATACATTAATCGCTAAAATTTCAAGTAACATTCCAAATGAATTAGCCCGATACAAAAACTGGAAGGCTCCACTACAACTCCTCAAACCATGATGATGATGAACATAAATAAAATCGTCAAGATGAAAAATAAATCTCACTCACAAATAAAATGATATGATATTCTCTAGCTACCAAAAGACTAATGGCTGAAAATTCAGGGCAGCGGAAACAGTTTAATGCAGAAAACCCATGCAATCAAAATTAAAAAGAAAAAGAAAAAAATGGGCCAACTGTAAAACGTCAGAAACTGTTTATGATTGAAGATATTGAAAAACCGAAGGTGCTTTTTCCTGATATATAAATTTGGGAAAATTGGAGGGAAGTCGCACAATAAGAAGCCACAGGGTACTCTAAAGCAAGTGGCTCAACGCAGAAACACATGAAATCAAATCGGCTAATATTTAAACAGAAAAAACATCTTGTGATTTTAGTGCCTGATGAGGGCAACTAGAATTTTAAAAAACAGTAAATAAAAATTCTCCGGAAAAACGAAAATACATGAAAGTTTCCAAATGAAATGACTCAGCGCAGAAAACTCATGCAATCATCGAATCGAAAAACATACGAAACTCAATGGAATTACAAAGCATAATCCGATAACCGGAGTGAACAAATGGGGTGAAGAACAAAATTAAGCAGCCAAGGGGAAGGGAAATTACACCAGCACACCAGAAAAGCAACAAAACAAGACAGAAAATTCGCCAAAAACGAAAAGAAAGAAAAAAGAATGGGCCAATATAAAAAACATAGGAAACCAGGCGATCGGAAAGCATGATCGGCGATCCGAGCAAATATGCTGCGACAAAGAAAAGAGAGAAAGGAAGTACCGTAGGGCGGAAGAGCGAGAGACGAAGCGGCGCCAGAGACAGAGAAGGAGCGTTCTGTGTACCCTAGCACGAAATTCCCTTGCTCAAATTCTTGATGGAAACGTGAAGGTCTCTCTCAAATATAAATGTGCCTGCCAGTTTTACACAGTGCTGATACAGGGATTTTGGCGGTGCCAGAATTCGTTTATTAAATTACAATTAACCCCTTGCTTGCCCAAAAAAAGAAAATTACAATTAAACCCTGCTAATATTGAACAGTATGATGATATTATTACAATTACAATTACAATTAAGCAAAAGAATTTAAATCTCTCGTGTTTTCATTGAAATTTTTCATTTTTCATTTTTATATTTCATTAGGTTCTCTGCAAATATTTTATTTCTTCCAATTTTCAAATAATCAAATTTAAATTTTAGAAAAAAAAAAATATCAGCATCCATCACTGTCATTAATAATTAATATTAGTATATTAACAACAAAAAATAGAGACCGTCAACTTTGTTCACAGGCCATCAATTCCAGTTCCATGTAAATATAAGAGTTCACTTTTGTTAGTACAATTTTTTCAGAAAAAAAAAATCAAGTTGTTATCTAGCTCGAAGGAACCATAAAAGTTTTCTCATAATGCAATTTTGAGTCAAGAAAAATACTAGAGGCTAGTGGAAAATCATGCTCAATCTTTATAATTTTAAAAAGTATCAAATGAAATTGATAAATGATGGCAATTCATGTATGTCAAATTTAAAATTAATAGGTCTAATTCAATTCGAAATTTTGAATTATTTTGATAGATATGATTCTAACTTTCAAGCAATGGTATTTGTAATATTGAAATCTTAGTCACGACTATCTTATACAGACGATATGAAAATATACTCCTTTCGTTTAAAAATGTAAGGTATTTTTTAAAGAGTTAAATAATAAAAATATAAGGTATTTTTAATTTTTTAAGTCATTTTTTTAAGTATTCATATTGAATAAATTATTTTATATTTATTTTAAGGTGAAACACCCTATTAAATAAAGGTAAATATGAAAAGATAGAGTTAATTTGAAAATAAATAACTATTTTATTAGAAATAAAATTCAGTTAAAAATATTTTATATTTTTTAATAAAGAGAATGTGTGTGTGTGTATTTGAAAGCAATTGAAATTTCTGGTTATCAACAAAAAAAAAAGAATTTACATATTTTGAAAATGGATCATCAAATAACAAATAACAAATATCAATCAATCAAAACTTGAATATCAAATAATATGATAAAATCTTGAATTGGATTAAATGTAATCAATCAATCATCAATCAATTATTAAAAGAGTGTAATAAATAACTTTAAATAATAATTTTTATCATATATTTGAAAGCAATAATGGTAGTTAGGAGCTCATTAGCTTCAAGGGTAAAGATGCTTTGATTGGTTAAATTTAGAGTGGGATTAATTATAAAATGCAAATGAATACTGAGTTGAACAAGAGCATAAAAATATTCCCACTTTGTGATAAAATATGGGATAATAGTTAATTAGAATAATTAGGGTTTATTTAAGATATTAAAATTAAAATTATTCATTAAAAATATTTGACTAAAAATTTTATCCATTATAATTAGAATTTATTATTTTATCTTATCATCACCTTTTGATTTTAAATAGATTAAAATGGGACTCTGAATTAAATTTAAATTTTTATTTACGTTCAGTTTTTTGCGAATTTGGACAAAATTTTCAAGAGTTTCGATATTCTCCTCATTTTTTTCCCTCTTCTCTCTCTTTCTCCTTTCTCTCTCTCCTCTCCCTTTCCCCTTCCCATTTCACATCTCTTTGTACATTTTAATATTTTAATCATTTTTTTAAAAGGAAGCAAAAGGAAAAGGAAGAAACATAAAATTCACTTGGAATGAATGGCTGTGGGAGCCAGGACCATCAGGAAAAGTGGTTTAGACTGTTGATCTCATTCATTCGTTGCTTTAGCCCATTTGATGTCTTTTGATTTGGACGGTGAAAAAGAATGCGAATTTCTTGACGCAAATGTCAAAACACTAAAGAGGTGCATTGCATCCATACAATTGGTATCTTCCTTCCTTCCTTTTTTGATGACCCACAACAGTCATTTTGGACAAGTGACTGCCACGTATTCACGGCCATTTCACTACACACAACACAAAGCAATGGAATATATTCCATCACCACCAGAACAGTATCTTTCTATCTTTTCCAATAAACTTGGATTCATTATGAACACATAACTCTCTATGCAGTAAACATCAAATGAGGATGATCAGTCAAATTTAAACCAGCAATCAGTCTGATTAGCGGTGTTGGTACCTTGCAGTTTACAATCCGAGAACGAAACCCAAAACATCAAAAAGGAAGGGAACCAAAAAAAAAAAATGCCGAATGTCAAGCCTTGTGAATCTTCAACCTTTGACAAAACTGAAAATGGTATGTAACAGACACAGCTACAAAAGAACTCAATTTTTTAGAGGTATGCCGACAGTTCTTGTTTTCCCAATTTCCATGGCTGGGAAAGCAGGGACCCATGACTGAATCTGCAAGACAATGAACCGAGTTTTTACATGAAATCATAATCATCCATGTCTTCATACCGATCAACGACCAAATCATCATCAGGTTTGTCAACATGAAGCTGCTTTTTCTTGGCACCTGCAAAAGCCACAAGAATTTTGAACAGGCCATAAAATTAAAAAGGGACTGGAAAAGTAAATGAATATACTATACTACTATAACAAGAAGCCTCATCCCACTAACCAGGGTCTACTACATGGATTAAACGACACCATTATACTCTATCATTAAATGAATATATTAAATTAAGATAAATATGTAAACCTGTCTTCTTTTTGCCAGCGTTGGCTTCTTTCTCTGCTTTTATCTTCTCATTTGCAATTGCGGTGATTGAAGATGCAATTTCCTTTGCATCAGCTCCTTTCAAAGAAGTCATTGATAATCTCATCACTGACTTCAATAAAGTACCGTAATGATAACTTTTCTGCGTTCAATCAATAGGGAAATTAGGATGCCTCTCCAACAAAAGTATTTCACGAGTAAATGTGGACTTTTTTTTTTTTTTTTTTTTTTTTTTGTTGGTGGGTGGTGGGAGGCTGCAGTAATGCCAAACTTTGTTAACTTACCTCGAAAGGACGAAGCTTATGCGAGATGAGCTCTGCATATTCCAAGAAATCGTTCTCAGAATTGGGAATAAAATTATCAAGATTCTTTTCATCACCTCTCGCACCAAACAATTCTTTGGTGGACTTGTAATCCGCTTCCTCAACCAGCCTGTTATAGGGAGGAAGAGTTAAACTAGAAAACCGCGTACATTTTAGAAACATCACTTTTACAAATCAAATTGCATAATTTAAGAGCTGCAGTCATAGAGGCCATTAAGAATAAATAATATGCAGTAGAATGTTATCGCAGTCAATATCCAGTACACAATAAAATGTCTATTTCCCCAGAAATCCATACAGGCCACTTATAAACCCAGAACCTTGTAAATACGTTTGGATTACGGACAATGTAAGGAAAAGGAAGGAAAGAAAAATTTTAATTTTGACATTTTCTTTTAGATTTATAATGGCATCCCCCCTTTTCTCTGCGACTGCAATCCTCCTCAAATCAAAACATACTCCAAGTGAATTGAATGCTTCATTTAAATCTGTTAACAACGTTCATACAAGAAGGAAACTACATACTAAAATTACAAATAGTTGATGGCCATCAGCAAACAGTGTTCAGTGTTCCATTTCCTTAGATTTCACAGTGCAACAATATTATTAGATTAGAAGCATCTGATAGGACTCACAATAACCGGAAGAAATAATAGGAATAAATCTATTAAGATGATATAGAACAAGAATTTCGTTCTATATTTCTCTCAATAGCCACGCTTGGGAGAATCTCCAAAGGGTTTGAAAGACAGTTTATTAATTTTCTCGTATGCTAGCTTCAAGGTTGCTAGTCATATTTATAATGCTAAATACAATCTAAAATAAAATTTAGATAACTATTTAAGATAATGAATAAAATCTAGATAACTAAATAAAATTTCCTAAAATCTAAAATATTGAATAAAATCTAACTAAATAAAATCTGAATCTAAAAAGATAAATAATAAAATCTGAAGAAATATCTAAACTAATTATCTAGTTATCTAAAATTAAAATACTAAATTAAATGAATTTAATCCTAATTTATCTTTTGCTTCTTCCTTCGTGAATAAGTCTGAATCTTATCAGCATCACAGACAATAATTATGGCTTGCATGTAAAAAGAAGCCTACCAATTTAAAGAAAAAATAAAACTAGTATTGTATCTTTCAAGACATGTCTAAAAACAAAATCTTGTAAGCAGAAATTAATTAGAAAACCAAAAGAATACTCATATGAATACTGAGCCAACGAAGAGAACAAAAGATTGTAGTACTAGAAAATTCCAATTCTTAGAACATCTAGCTATAATGAAGAGAACATTGTACTTAAGCTTTAAAGTTGAAGTGATCCATGACATGAAATCAAAACCGCAATTACTAAGCAGGCAACAATTTCATTCTTGCCATTACCCCATTCTCTTAATTAAATATTAAAGTTTCAGCACAATCCATGCTTTAAACCGCAAGAATTTTCACCCGAAAGGGCATATTGGAAAATAGAATAATAGATGTTATAAAAAAAGTATTCATGAGCATTCACTCAATGGCTTCAGTTGTTGCAAGTTGTCCTTGACAGTTCAAAACTTCATTATTAAATGTTCCATTTTCTTTTACTGCAAATTAGTGGATTTATGTATCATCTGAATAACAAAAAAAGAGTGAATTTAAAAGATTAGGGAAATCTTTCAATCTACAACCTCGTGTTTTGGGGACCCATCCAAGTTCAATTCACCCCAACAACCAGGTGCCTTGTCTAGTTCCATGTACAATGTACATGTAGCTGGCATTTGTTCTTTTCTTCTTCTGTACTAGACTAGCATATGTAAATGCTGTTATGACTGTGTTCTTTGTTCCCAAGACAGGGCATCTTTAAATGGAATAATAGCATCGAAAACATCATACCTTTGTTGGCGAAGCTTTTCAGCCACCAGATCCAACGGTTCTTCCTTTACTGGTTCTACCTTTTTCCCCTTTTTTACGCCAGCTTTATCAGAAGACTTTTTAGAATCCTTGTCAGTAGGTTTCACAGCAGGTGCTACAGGTTCCTGACAAATTTAAACCAAAAGGGGAAAAATAAGAATCAGTAATCAGTAACTAAGCAAAAAGACCACGAATTATGAATAGAGGCCTAATCACCTTATTGGAGTAATAAACTAGCAATTTACTCAATTTTATCATATCATATGTTAGAACCTATCCTCTTTATTTTATTAAAATCTAGATAGCAAAATCAAGGAAGACCTTGTAACAGATAGACTTGAGGAATGATATGTTATTTTATTATCTTAAGCAATAAAGGTGCAATATCAACTTTTGCATATCAATAGTAAAGAAGCATGCAAACCAGAAGCCGCTAGAATAAGTCCACAAAACGAGCTATATCCACCTTTTAAAAGACTGATGCATGTTTAATGAGCTACACTACTATCATCAGTATCAATAATCAATAATTTATAGATAGGCTTACCGGGGCAGGTTCATCTTCATCTTCCCATGAATCCTTCACATTATTTTCGTCCACGTCTTCATCATCCCATTTACTTTTAGGTTGCTCTTTTGAAAGAAGAGGTGGAATGTGCTCTTCCTCTGAAACAAATAAGAAAGTCTTTGTCAGAGTGAAAAACAATATATAAACAAAAAGAAGCAACACAATACACTTGGCATTAAGTTATAAATTATATTATAATAAAATCTGGCTTCTTATAGTCTTCCTCAGCTAATAGCAGTTCCTTGCCGAAACAAGTGAATAGAAATGATTAATGCCTGTTTCAAAATTCACAATACCAACATCTAGGGCAACATCGTTCTCAAACTTAACATGTCAGGCTAATTCAAAGTTGTATATACTCTTACATCAGAGCAAACTATTTAGAAACAGCAGAAAAGTCATACCGTCAAAAAACAACAGGACATTTTAACCAATGAACCAGAACGTTGATCACATGACTGCAATCAAATCATCCAGACAACTCGTAAAATTAAAATATAATTCAAGCTAGATGAAATCCTTTGAATATCCCATTCTACTTCACTGCCTCAACAAGTTTTATGTTACAATTCGACCTTGGGAAATTTTTTTTTTCCATATAATGAACCAACTTTATAAATGATTTATCTAGAGGAAGGAAACTAAAGACCAATATAACTTGGAAGCAACTTGCTAGGCTTTCCACTCTCCAAACCTATCCTAGGTCAATAATTAGCAGTAATTATTCTGGTTTTATCTATAAACATTGAGAGGTACATCAAAAGAAATCAAATATCCTAGTGACCAATGATAATTAGAAGACCATCTGGAGAACTTTCAAGTCAACAAATAAAAATAAAATGACCAACCAAAACGAACTGCATATAATGAAACTTAAGAGCATTTATTAAAATAGAATGTAAAGGAGAAACATTACCCCAATCTTCCATGTGGTTGTTGTGTTGCTTTGTCAGTAAAACAGATCAATATCTGGAACCCAAATGCATGAATAATTATAAAATAGAAGGGCTTAAGCATCAGAAGCAGTAAGTAATTAATGGAAATATACTGACATGCTATAAATCAACATGGCGGGTGTAAGGTTTTGGACATTTCAATATTGATAATCCCGAAAGAAGAAACTAGCATAGCCTTGGGATCAAATTTACTGAGGTCATGACAATCTCTAAAGCCAAAAAATCTCAAGACTTTTGAGGAAGCTATATCATAACAATTTAATTAAGCGCTTCAACAAATTATGCAGTCAGGTCCAATAGTTAAACAGCAGACCAATGTTCCAATAACTCTCGAGAAAGGCATGCTATAAAGCTAATGAACTACAGCAGTCCTTACTAAAAAATAACAATTCCTTCTTGTTGACAGGCATTGACCAACAGAACTAGAGCTGCAGACCACAGTCAGTGAGTGACACAATCAACAAACCAGCAAAAGCAGAGATCAAACTCTCAAAACTATACTCACTTAAGGATCCAAGTCCAATGCAAGGAGAGGCAGTCGTCAGCAGGCAGCACCGTCAGGCGCCAGCGTCAAGGATCAGGGTATTATTTGGATGCTGAATCAAGGACAACCTATTCACAACAAGAAAGATTCCTAATCAGAAAGAAAACAATATTCAGACCAACTCCCAAGTTTCAGGCTTTCGGCCTAAATAAAACCGATTCAAATGTCGAGAAGTTCCACAACTCCCCAGAGAAAAATACCCATAAAATCCCTCGAACAAATCAATCTCCCATCGCCAAAACTATCAAATCTAGATTAGATGGGAATAAGAAGAAAAAGATACCAGATGGCGACGGTGGAGAAACCCTAATTGGATAGAGGAAAATGTTCGGGTAAAGTAGAGATTTATATTTCAGGATGTGGGATTAGGACACAATGTAGATTGAGGGCAGAGCTGAAGCTCTTTCGATTAAATTGGATGTGGCCTGTAACGCTACCTTTGACCCTGGTAGTATTCAATGAAGATCATACTCTATAATCCGCCGTCCACTAGAATTTGTACAAGGGAACGGAAAGAAGAACGGCGCAATGAAAAAGGAAAGAAAACGAATTTTTTTTTTTTCACTTTTTGTAGAAAAACGAGTTTTTATTTGTAAAAAAGCCGAATTTAAGTTAATTCATGGTATAAAAACCGTTGAATGATTGGTAAGAACTGTTTGCATTCATTTGTTGTCCTTATGATTTCTAAAAGTGACAATGAATGATCTGTGAAAAATGCTTGCATTATTTTCTCATTATTTTTCTTTCAATCCTTTTATTTTATTTGAGCAATAAATTTCAAACGCAAATGCCAGCCAGAGACCTATTCTAATCATGAATATTTGATTGATTATTCTGATAACTCGTTCATACTTTTAAAAGGTCTTACTCGTATGGATTAAAAAAAAAATCTTTATTTTCTTTAAGAAATTATTGTTTAATTGTTTTTTATATTAATGTGAGGTATTTTTAGGAATGCAAACTTTCGAACCTATCTTGAAGTTTGACCACAAAAGCACACGATATACTTCCTTAAAGTTGATTAATTTTATGATTTTTAAATTTATAAAAATATTTAACTTTTAAATTTTATCCTTCGCTATGTGTATATAGAAATTATAACTTCATGTGATTTTGTTTAGTTTGTTTAATAAAAGTTTTTTATTCTTTCACGAGCTTTGCGTGTTAATATTCACATGATACCAAAGCACTGGTCTGTGAGTCCTGACTAGCTCCAACAACTATACGGTTTGGAGTCGTGCCATCAGTCTTGCCTTTCTCGGTCTTTAGTAGAAGCGCAGCATCGAACTTTGGGATTAGCAGTTGCAGAGGTGGTCTAGCTTTCAAGGATGTTAAAACACTTTGGTTTACATAATATAGAGTCTGGAGATGTGTTTTGTGACAGCAAAGCTGCCATACACTTTGCTAGCAAAAAAATTTTAATTTAATATGTAATAAGAAATTTAACAAGAGTCAATTTCAAATACTTATATTGCAAAGACCTTGAACAGCATTTAAATACTTGAAAACTAATTAATCATAGAAAATAAAAAGTTAATTTATCAAAACAAAGTTCAAAGAATAAAATGAATAATAGTTTTCAAAAATCAAGAATCAAGAGAGTGTAATATTATACTCAGCTGAATGTAAAGCGAGTAGAGATAAAGATATTGCACAAATTAATTTATTCTAATTTAGTCCAGTTGTTTGTTCTATATTTAGTCCTCAAAACGCTTATGAGATTTCTTCACTAAAATTACAAGTTTAAATGGATGCTTGTCACTACAGTACAATCATAAGTTTGATTCAAATACTTATGAACCACTAGAAGTTCATCACAACCTTAGTGAGATTCTCACGTAAAAGAGCAAATTCTCTTGCTTACAAAAAAGAAAAAATTCCTCACAATTCTCTTGTCCACAAGGAAAATTTTTCTCTGTATAAAAATAAGAGAACATTTCCCTTGATTCAATCAAGAATGAGATGAAGGTGTTTTTCCTAATGTATTCTCTCTCAAAGAGATTATAGGAACAATTTAACATATTCAAATAAACTCTCTTAAAAAAATAGATAATATATTTAATGCCTATAAACTAAGTGAGAGCAGGTTTCACATAAATTGAATGTAAGTTAGTAAGAATTCAATGATAAGGCATTCAGTGCATGATTGATAATTGTAAAAGATTACCCAATAACATAAATGATGTCCTATTTATAGTTTGGCATAAAAATAGATTTTATGAGCACTTAAGGTAAGTATTATAGTTGTTAAAGATGTGCAAAAATAAAGTTTACCTCAAAAAGCATTTTTCTACAAACAACATTAAATACTCGTTAGAGAATTATTCATGTGTTGTTAAGGACACATACATGGATTAGCTTTATATACAAATGCTTGGTTTACTTTTAGCTATTTCAAACGTGAAGGCTATATGGTTCAAGTGTGTTTTTGAATTCAGAAACTCCTTATTTTCACCATGAGCTCAAACACACATGGGTACAAACTGAGGCAAGCATGGATTGGAAATGTATTCTCTGTAAGGTGAAACATGATTGAGTTACTTTTAAAACAAGCTTAATGTAACATCCTAGAAATATAAACCCAATTAATTAAGCTTAATTAGGATAATTAAGTGAATTAATGCTAGAGAGGTCTAATTTGTGTAATTGATTGTGATTTCAGCCCTAAATGCGCATTCAAAGTGAAGTCAGGTCATTCGAGCATCAAAAGGGGAGAAGAATTGAAGAAGAGTTCTTTGTGCCACATGCTACAGCATGAGAAGTGTCTACCATAGCATACAGAAGCAATCAACATGAGTTGAACCTCTTTGTGCCATATGCCGCGGCGTGGGTTACGTGCACCGCAGTGCACGACTAAAATCCTACTTAAATCAGTGTGTCTGTTCCAAAAATTAGAAGAAAGGAAAAATGGAAAACGAGAGTGCACCCATTGCTCTGCTAAGTCACGTTCTTGGGCATTATTAGAGATATTTTGAAGCTTTCTAACTCACAAGATAAGTACATTACGTCTTTCTCTTCCCTTTCCTTCCATTTTTATGAAGGTTAAAGTTAGGGTTTGAATTAGGAAATGATTTTTGGTCCATATGAATTATGGGTCCAAACCCATTGATTAAAATTAATGTAATGGGAGTTGTTATAGTATTTAAACCTTATATTAATGATTTTGAGAGTTTTTAGTGGTTGCAAAACATTAATACTCGAAAATGATAATAAAGAAAGTTGTTTGGAGTATTTGATGACCATTAATGGTGGGTTCATAGTTCATTAATGACAATGTGAGTTGTTAAGACCTAGTAAACTCATTGGGTATGATTTAGAGTGAGTTTATGGATTTGATAAAAGGGAGTATGTGATATTATAATGTTGAAAATTGCCCAAAAATAGGGTAATGATATTATCCTTATGATATGATTGTAGATTAATCTAATTGATACTATTCAATCTTGAAAAGAAGCTTTAAAAGTTGGTATTTTGAGGGGTATACCTTTGACCTATTTAAGGTTTGAGATAACCAGGGAAAATCTTGTTTGTATAAGTTATATCTTAATTATTTGTTTATTGAACTAAATCATTTAAAAATTCATTTGAGTGCTCAAGGACCCATTGCTGCAAATGTTGGAATGTCATGTATTATAATGTGAATTTTGTATAAGAGTATGGAGGAATAATGTGCATGTTCGTACACTTATGATCAATGTTGATATTTAAGAACATGCTTTTTATGAAAATAATGAATGATAATTGATATGTGTTGCATAGTAGAGAAAATATGGTTATGGATGAAATATGGTATGATTGTTAGTTGAATTGCATAATATGTGTAATATGCACATAGCATGATCATTGGTGGGAGTTTGTCTAAGAACAGATGTAGATTGATAAATCCACGTGATAATGGCAGCTTACCATTAGAATTGGATGCTTGTCTTGGCATCAACTATTAAAATCAAGAGCAGTCTTTATCCCATGGTTGATTTGGGACTGTCCCACTCATTTTTTGAGGAACTCAAATCTAACTAGTCCTTACCAATTTATGAGAATGCTAGATTATGGGTACGACACCCCATGGTTGTTAGTATTAGGGAAACTGTAATATACAAGTGAGTGAGTTAACCCTAGCCTGCTAGCTCCTCACAAGTGAAAGGCTAGGTTAATTTAATTTATAGACGTAACCACTTAATAACCATCGGTTTCATGTTGGAGGTATCAGAAGGATATAAGACTAGTATTAATCATGCATTTAGTTCTAGCCATATGATTATTATTATTATGGTCTGGCGTGTGTTAGGGGTGTATGGTTGTTATTTTTGCGACTCAAAGATATATTGATTTGTGATAAACCAAATTATATGTGTTGCATGCTCGGTTACATAGTTGTTATTATTGTAGCCAAGGTTATGATTGCTAGATGTGTGTGAAAATTGAGCATATTTCCATTTGCATCCATTTTTAATTGATATACAACTATATAGACTAGGTTGACCTTAGTTACTGAGTGGTTATACTCACCCCTTCTCCTTCAATATTTTCAAGACCTAGCTCATTGAATCAGAATCGAGGAAAACAACTAAAGGTATAGGAGTCTGAGTAAATCCTATTTGTAGGCCTTTTAGTTTTATTTATGTGTATTTTGATGGTTAATTTATCAACCAGGACTCATACCATTATTTTGTATCACATCCTGAATTCTGAATTCTTGCATTAATGCTAATTGAGGGATGAATTAATAATTTAATGTGAGATTAGGGTTTTGGATAGTGAAATATTATTTTAGCTCGTTGGGATATTGCTTGAACAAATTAGAGTGGAAGAGAATAGTATTGCGAAGCAGAATATGTGAGCCCAATAAGGAGTTTCCTGACTGTGCCATGCATCGTTGCTAGTGCTGGATGCACTGTAACACATGGTATAAAATTTTGATAGATAAGAATGCATCTAACTCATGAGAAATAGAAAGAAAACAAAGAAAAACACATGGGAGAGTAGAGAAGAAAGGGACCTTTGCTAGGGCAACCATTTTTAAGAGCAAGGACAACGTGTTCAACTTGTTACTTATCGAGTAAATCTCGTACTACATTAACCTCTTATTCTACCCTAATTTATCTTAGTTTAAACTAGTAAGAAATTGAATTTGAGAGTTTTAAAGAGTTGATTTCTTACCCTATAGTAATAAAAAAGTTTTCTGGAGTTAAATTAGGACTTTGTGACTGGTTTGAGTTTGAATGATAAAATGTTAAAGTTGTAGGCTTAAATTGGTTGAATTTAGAAAGAGGAAAATGGGGGAAGTTTAGAAATGAGCATGTTAATGCTTGCATTGAGTGGTGATTAGGTATAGAAGGTGGAGATGGGTTTGAATAAGGGAAGTGGTAGTGTTTATATACTTAATTGCTATAATTAACACTTTTAGTCAATAAGATAATTGATTCCAATTGCTAATTTTGTGAAGATTTTTGTGTGTAGAAGTGAATGTGAAATAGCAAGAAGGAATTTGGAGTAAGATTGTGTAACACAGGTAA